TACCTCTGGTGCAAATTACTGACCTCTGTCATCATTTTAAGTGGGGGAACTTGCACAATCGGTGGCTGACTAAATACTTTTTTGCCCCACTGTATACCTTATGTGAAAATCATATAAGCAAAATGTCAGAGTTTAAACCCACAACATCAGTCCTCGTGCACCAATATGTGTCTCCTGTTAGAGTCCTGTCGCCTTACAGTGCCAGAATTGAGGACATCAAAACCGGCTCCTCACGACACATAAATAGTCCCTGGAGGAGGGTCCCATTAGGGCCACTGAGTTTACAGCTGTGATCTGAATGCCCTGCGACCCCCTTTCAAGCCGAAATAGGACACTCCTCCTCCCAGGTGACAGATTAATGAGGCCGCATGCCGGGATATAAACTGTATTGCTGACATTAGACATTAACCTCATGTCAGAGCTCGAGCCACGCTGTTCGTATTCTCGAGGGCAGTGACGCTAGCGGCCAACGTGTCTGTCAATTACGGCTCCGATGACAAGGACTCAGCTGTCTTTTACCAAGATGAGAGGAAATCATCTCAATTGTTTGCGAGCGATTCCAGTAACTCTGAGTAGGTCGAATAGAATTACACATAAATATGTAAGTACAATGGCTTTCATCCTTGCGTAACACTGATACACCAGCTTACTGTAAGTTGGCTCTTGCACAGAACACTTTTGCACATTGAGCAAAAGCAAAAAATGCCTCACACTATGAGTATCAGGGCATTACTGAGGTCATTTTGTTTCTTAAATCAAGGAGGCGGTCTCTAAAATTCAACAATTTGCATTTTGGACAGTCCCGGGAAAATCTCAAAAATATACAAAGACAATCTGAAGAGAGAATAAAAGGAAACAATGATTTTACAGCTTACTCTCCAAAAACGCAGGACGTGGTTCATCAGACCTGACTAACACCAACTCTAATGGTTCGCCCGCAGCTTCTTTTACTTCCTCTTACGCCAACACGTGCTTGTTCATAGGCGATCTTTGGATTGTTGGATTTCTGTCCATAATGGCATTTGATGAGCTTTAGATGAACATTGTTTTGAATTTGCTCTGCATAAATAAAATGGATAGACTGCAGGATGTGCTGCGCACTCTGACCACGCGGTCTGTGGCTACACAGCAATGTGTCCCACGACAAGCTTTATCACAGGCAGCAATCCATGGTGGTAACAGGCACTAAAGACAAACTATAGCTTAGGTTAGTAAGGAAGTTTTACAGGAAATTGGTGCTAAATGAAAACATTGGACAAATGTTACTGCTTACTGGCTGGTGGTGCTATAACATGCAGCCAAAAAAAAGAGGTGCATTGAGGTGGACATAAAAATTCAGGATTAGCAGAGTCATTAGGATTCATCTTTTGTGGGTCATGAATGTGATTACAACATTTCTTGGTAGTTTGTTCAAAGTTTAATGGAAGACGTGCGCTGCAGACCGACTGAAAATAACTACACAAGTCTGAGAATTTGTTTCAGTTTGTAATATTTGACAGTTTAACAGCTGGTCTTGAAGACATTTCCTTGTGCCAAAAAAGACAACAGCTCACTTCAATACCCAGCCTATTACAATTCAAAGATTTATTAATCAGACAAACTTTTTTTGCTCTATACTTAAGCTTACAGCATCATGTGGTGGTTGCAGTGAATTGCCACCGTCTCTTCTTAGAGCAGTTCCCTTTAAACCTGCTTTCAATAAGCAATTCTGCACCACCAATCAAAAAGCTCTCTGTAGATTAATGCTTTTATTGGACAAATAAAACAGAGTCTTGGTGACATCCTTTAAACTATAATCTTGTAACATGACAATTTTCCAAGTGTCCACCCTGACTGGTCCTCACAGCTGCCGTTTGCAGTTATATGTATAAATCGAAAGCAGAACATTCATTCCTCAGACACCAAGTATCTGGCGTTTATCTCCTTTACTAACCAGAAGATATTCATGCCTCCTTACTCTGAGCTGGCAGATGTGCGGCAGCCGCTTTAGTGCCATGCACAGGATCCTGCAGCTCCAGCTCCATGTAGTTGAGCTGCTTCTTGGACGTGGGGCTAACAGGAATATTCACATACGTCACACCTTCACCGCGAGGTCTTTCAGCAAGCGGAGCCTCTGGGGGGAACACAAACACGGCCCCTGAAAATGCGAGAGTAAATTAAGCTCAGACGGTGTTAGGTTCGTTTCTGTCATGCTTTTTCTTTTTTTAACGTGTGAACACTTGTTTTTAACAAAAATCCCCCACAGAAACTAAAAATAACAAGCAATTTGTCCTGTTGATAATATGCTATGTTTTCTTTGCACCTCCAAGCCTTCACTGTCAACCAAAATCTATTAAAAACATAAAAGAACAATGCCACCTGGGTTCAGCACAATGAACACACACTACACGTATTTCTAGATTCACTTGTGTTTTCTAGACAGTTTGTGTTTCTTATTATGATAAATGCTGCCCGAGTGCAACAGCCCATGTTTAGATTTCCTGTCGTGAGGATTCCCGTGGCATAGAGAGACAAGCTCAAACGGGCTATGACGGCACACAGTACCAATCAAGTCTTTCTCAGAACTGATAATAATTAAAAGATTAAATTGAACCAGACTTACACTTTGACACTTCTTTGAAACTGGATTTGTTTTTGTCATTATAACCTTAATCAAAAGCTAAACTTACCCTCCAGTCTGAGCAGCTCTCCAGGCTGCAGCCCAGTGTCAATTAGATATATTCAAATACAGACGTCCACAACACAAGTATCAATACGGTTTCCAGCAGTAAAAACAACGGTAGCTATAATGGGATCGGCAGTCGCACAGGAACACAGCGTTTCACGATGAATTGGTTCTCTCCCCGCCCCAGAGACTAATTATGTGAAATTAGCGGATATGCCCCAGAGATAATTTATGGGATACACATTATGTCCTCGAAGCACAGAATGCTTTGAGGAAGTAAAACTCAATTGTTCTTTTAATCATCATCAAGCTGTTTCGTCATGCGGCTGTATAGTGTATGAACGTGTCCAGATCAAATATCTGAGGGTTTATGGAGCAAAATCTCATTTTTCTATTAGCAAACGTTCATTAAAACTTGAATAGGAACACCCAAACCTCTTTGATTTTCCTGTCAAACACACATTATTGCCAGATTTTTTGCCTACAGTGGATTGCACATCTAATTAATTGTGCCGGAAAAATTGTTTCAAATCACAAGAAACAGCTCACGGCTTTATCTTCATAAACCTAAAAGCTGAGAAAGGCAGATTTGCAGTCAAGTTTTCTACTGGCTGCAGAAATGATTAGTTCAGCATCTCAGTGATACAGCTTCAGAACAACCACTACATAAAATATGTGCATATTTCAGCTCTGTGACACACATCACATATTTTTATTTTTTTTGTGGTGCCTGGGTATGCATTAATGCAGTGATAGCTGCAACCTTCAAAACCAGAGTACAGTACGCTCAAGGATATCTTGAAATTAGCATAACTTGAATACTGCTCTGTGAATAGAGACCAGTGAAAATCACTTATCCTGAACGGTGATATAAACGTTTGCTGTCACTTTAATTTTGTGCAAATGAGAGTCGAGAAAGCCAAATGAATCTACATGCTTTGTGGTTTTACTACAACAAGTACTGCAGTACTGTTCATAGGAATCATCTAACTCGGTTGATGGGCTTACATGACAGGTACAAAAAGTTGTCTACCAGCACAAAATAGATGAGCCATGGCAGTCACACACTATCAGAGTTTCGATGTATAAATATCTTTTTTGTTCTTTTTAATGGTGTCTGGGAACAAAGGGAAAGAATTACTATAATGTTGAAATATAAACATTTTCACAGACTCATCTATGCTTTCTTTGTCAAATTCATTGTTTCATAATGCATCAAATCCGATCTAAAGGTCTGGACTTCGGATACATCCAATTTTCAGACACCTTCACTTTGATGTTTTCTTGTAAACATGCAGAATGTTGTTTGGCATCGCAGGCAAGACTTTTCCCTGATAATCAAATCATCTGCATGGCAGCATATGTTGCTCCAAAAGCTGTGTCTATTTTTCAACATATTGTTAGTGGTGCCTCCAAACATGTTACTCATGCTATGTGCATTAATGACCCTTTATACCATCACAGATGCTGGCTTTTTAACTGCGTGCTGACAGCAAGCCAGATGTTGCCTCTCATCTTTAGCGGTCCATAATTTAAAAAAAGAAAAGGAAAAAAAAAATTCACATTTTGAGACCCGAGGACTGTTTTCCAAGTGAACTCAGAGCGTGGAAGGAAGGACTCTAATCTAGCCTCAATCACAGAGCACGAGGGGTCACTGAATGTTTGATGAGCATGCAAGTGATGCAAGTCGTACACTATGGCCTGCAGTGACCACATAACTAGAGTGCAGTTCAAGTAGCTGCAATTCAAGTCTTTAATAAACCCAACAGAGCTGACACAGGACCTGAGAGATGGATCTGGGCCTTCGGGTTATCCATCGACTGCTCACTGAAGCTTCATCAGAAATGGTTTAAGTGGAAGCGTTGCTGTCAAGAAGCCACTCTTAAAGAAGGGAAACAGGAAGAAAGTGGAGTGGGCCTTATGGAGTGATGAAACTAAAGCTGAAATGTTTTTGTTTAAACCATCCGTGTGCATGGAGAAGTTCAGGAGATAGAGACAACAGTGAGTATCTATAGCCATTTACAAAACATGGCGAATACTGTGTCATGGTTCGAGGCTGTATTTCTGCCAGTGGTGTTGGATCATGATAAGGCAATTCCATCAACTTGTGAAAGTTGGAACAGGGCCTGCAGGCTCATTACTGCTTCCAAAAAGAGAAAAGTCAGCAGCATAATGTGGTTGTTTCTGTCCTGGATGCAGTTTTCGACGTTGCACACAAAGACCATTTATCTCGTCTTTGTTCATATCCACGTTCTAGACTGTGTCGCCATTTCCCTCCTCTGACACGAGAACTGAAAACAGTTCATCGTTGCAAGAGTGCAAGAAAGTGGGATCAACTGGCAGGCAGACTAACAATCCCAAGGAATTGGAAGACTGGGAACAGGAACCAGTTTACAATTCCCATCCCTATTGTTCTTGAATATCTTTTTTTATCTGCTGATTTTTGAAATGCAATGCAAAACTGATCAAATGATTAACTAATTATTTAATACTATAGTTTTATAGTTTCACTTTATTTTCAGCACTATTAAAAAAAAATGTGAAAAAACACACAGTCTTGTATTCATTATGTACAAAGTGGAGTCCAAACAGTAAATCATATATAATTTCTTTGAAATTGTTTTAGGGAAAAACAATATCTGTTTTTATATTAATATCGGACCCCCAAAAAAAGAGTGAATTGTTGAAAAACGCACCAATGCAAATACATTTTTCCCTGATTTACCCTCAAGGATCATAGTTGAGCTACAATACACAAACAGAGCCTGTGTTATCTTTTTCAAGTATAATGTCAACAAAAAATGTTTCATCATTAACTAAAAAGAAAACAAAAAGAATTCAAAAAGCCCAGACCCTTACAGACGTAGCAAAACAACGCACTGTTCCTAACAATGCAAACACTGCTGATCTGAGCCTGTGAACATTTATTTACCTTTCTTTGAGTCCGTTGCTGTGTGTGCATTGATGTTTAAAAGATTAAAGAGTAGATCTGGATCACAGAAAAGATTTTTTTTTTTTTTTATCTTCCGTCATTATTTGTCAATCAAAGCAACACAAAGCAGCTTGGTTGAGGCATTTCACAACTACAAACAGAAACACTAATCAGAGTGTGGACTCTGTAGTAGAACGTCTATAACCGTCTTATAGTAAATATAACAATAGATTCCTACAGTATTATATATGTGCCAACATGGATTCATATTTCTCTTGTTGCAATTACCCTGTCACAGATAGTGCGTTACCATTGGCATACAGATTGTATAGAACAACATTTGGGAAAGAAAAGATTTCACCTGCTATTGACTCTTCCTAAATGGTAGTAGGCAGTGGCCATTACCCGCAGCTCAGAAGCATCAACCCCAGGGGACACTCTTACAATCAGTGAGAAGCCATTAGATGCCAGCAAAGTCTCAGTGGGTACAGCCTTTGGCAAAGTCTAACCTAATTGATCAGACACCAACCAGCCCTTGCAGGAGAGTGTGGTGCTTTATAATGGCTTCCATTACAACAGTGGATTTGCCCACAGCTCTAAGGCCGGGGGACGTCTCGATAATACACTTTGCAAAACCTCCAGGGGAGAAGTTAGAGGCAATACCTGACAGAGTTTAGTGACCCCCAGCTTAAAAAGTCAAGTGCTTTTGGATGGAAAACACAGTTCAGATAATAACTGTGTATTCAGGGTGAGTGGGTTTTGCACCTTTCCCACATTATTGTTGCAGAAGGACACTAAGCTGTGGTATGTACACAAAAAGGATTACAAAGACCTGTAAATCTCCCACAATGTACAATTTATGGCAACGTATGCATGTGGAAACCTTTGGGAATGGGAAAGCAAAATGCCCTAGTGTAGGTGTTTGTTTTTCTTTGACTAGAACACCTTACCATTTCACTCCTGCTCCAGTTTCAGCTTTAAATGAGACCTTCACCAGGACAACAACATCCACTTTTTGATGTGATAAACTTGTGTAAAAAGTTGAAGAGGCGGGTGCGTGAAATTAAAATAGTTTTTGAGAGCAAGACTACATCACAGATGTGCACGAGCCACAAAGACGGTCCTACCAAAATCCTATTTATGATAGTGTAGTCTATGTGGTCTTTAGTAAAGGCTGATTTTTAGAAATCAAAACTTATAATCAGCCCCTTGGAGGGCTGGAGGGTTTTTGCGTAATCTTGAAAACATGTCAAAGAATATTATTTGAATAATACACAGATTTATAGATGACATACTGTTTAGACCTTGCAAAGTTTCAGGTGGAAAACCATCTTCTTTCGATAATGTCTGCGCTGTATCAAGCGTAAAGCACGGAGGGGGAGGGATGATGATTTTTGCTTGTTTGGTAGTCATGGGACCTGATTATGAACTCTTCTGTGTGCTAAAGTATTCCTGTGAAGCAATCTGTCTGATAGCCAAAGCATGTCTCGAACTGACTCCAACAACTGGGCAATGAGCCCAAGGACAGCAACAAACCTACAACAGCACGGCTGAAAAGGAAAAGAATCAAGGTGTAGCAATGAGTCCAGACCTGAACCTAACTGAAATACTGTGATAGGTACATAAGGAGCTGTGCCTAAACAAATGCCCAGAAACCTCAATGAATTAAAGCAACATTATAAAACCCGACAACATAATGGCTATGGGCTGGTTCTACAAATATCATTTCAGAAATGGATTAGCAGTGTTTAGCCTAAACTGTCCTGAGGTGCAATTCACACCTCTCCAAGCCAACCACTTAGTGTGTAACATGTAATGACCAACACAGCAGCATCTAAAGTGCCACGGGCAAAGCCAGTGTTTGTTTAGCTGCGTTCTGATACAGTGACGTACTCATGATGCAAGCATGTGTGTGTCCGCTTGCATTTTTCATCACATAGAGCTATGGTTTATTGCAAAGTCTGGAATGCCTCAAACCTGATATTTTATTTATTTGACCTGTGTGCATTGCTTTAATATGAAAAGTTTTTAAATCATATGACAGTTTTTCTGTAGCTTATCTTTCACTAAGCCCACATACCTTAGCTGCTGGACTTAGCCACATCCGGTCTCCCCCCCATCCATTAAGTGTCTGCTGAAGCGGGATGATGGGAAAGATGACGAGGGAGTCGTGAGTCGTGTGTAGGTACGTGAAAATGACTGATGGGTTTGGTGCCACACTGCGACAGCTGCAGGGACTTTGTAGAGCAGGTGTGTGTTTGACTGAGGGCATGTTTCTGGGTGTGGGATGCTTAAGTGGCCAAACGTCCCCTGACAACTGTCCTCTCGCCTCATATCAGGGGAGGCAGTCCGTCACACATCACTGCACTCTCTGGTTACACATCTGTGAGTTTTCTCAGCACACAATGGGCCTTTACGTAACTCGAGTTTATGGCTTTGGATAAAAAGCCAATGAAGACATAAAAAAAAAAAACCAAATAGCAAAGACTGTGACTCATGCCGTTGTCTGTTTTACATGCGATTTATCTGTCTAACCATAGATGGGGTAAATTAATGCCATTTTAAATTACACCTCTGTTTAGCCCTAATTTGTCCCTTTGTGTATTCATTCCCACATTGGAAAGAAACAAAAGGACACAATGACGTGCAAAAAAACGGGAAAAGAAAAACAGCCAAATGTTGAAATTAACCTTGGGTAAACATCACGTTAATTTAATATTAATTTGTTGTTTGGACCTCGAGCTTTGCGGTTCCTTTTAAACGAATAAAAACGGTAGCGCTTGCATAGCATTTCTTTAATTAGTATCAACTTAACAAAAAGGGAACTGCTTCGGAAAGTTTTACAAATTTCTTAGAACTTTTTCCTTTAAAAGCAGGTCATTAGTAAAAATGTAAAAAAGTTCAAAGAGTGAATACTCTCTCATATCCTTTTACTACTTCACATTATCTACAAGAGAAGTGTGTCTGGAAGTTTCGCCACACAGTAGCCATCGTATTTATTTGTGCAGTTATTTCACCTATCTGAATAAATAGGAGGTTCGCCTTTAATTTCAGTGGTAATCAGGCCAGGATCAGGAGCAGAACCAACTAGTCATGGAGTCAGTCACTTCCTTTAAGTCCTGTTTTAATGCATATGTATTTACTGACTGACTGACTGACTGATTGATTGATACTATAGCCACATATCTCTCTCTTATTTCCTCAATACTCAAATTTCTAACATTTTCAGTTTATTGGTCTTCAGTGTTTCTTTTATCATTACCAATTGTTTGTTTTATGTTTGTTTTTGAACTATTTTGTAAAGTCTTATATAAATAAAATACATTCATGTTTTAAAAAGTTTAAATTATCAGTATGTATAGAGGAGGTCAGCTGAGTGGAACCCTGTAAAATACAGTAGAGGCTCTGTCCTGGTTTCAGCCAGTGGTGTAGGGATTATGTCAAAATTGATGAAATTATGAACACAAAAAGTAACATCACACTTTTATCATCCATGCAATAGCATCAGGAAAGGCTTCATTTTTTAGTATAACAATGATCTCAAGCACACTGCCAATGCAGTAAAAGATAGAAAGACCTGGATAGAAAAACTCCTAATCAGAAACCATCAGTCATCGATTGTAGTATCATCATAACAGAGAACAGAACAAAAGGTCCAAAGAAGAACTCTGAATGTCCTTTAAGAAGCCTGGAGAACTATTCCTGAACACTACTTAAAGAAATTACAAGAAAGGTGTTCATTCCAAACACTGACATTGATCTTTACACATTTAAAAAATGATTGCTGCACCTATTCCCTATTTTACTTACAAAAAGCAAAGAAGTGCAGGGAGTTTTGCACCATACTGTAAAATAGCATTCCTATAATTTTATTATATTAGTATTCGTGTAAAATATTATTTAGTAAACGAATTCTAATAAGTTCATTGTTTAGGTGAATGACTGTTTCTAATGTAATACTTTCTCCAGGGGTGTTTCTTATTATGGAGAACTGCATTTCCCAGAATCCTCTCTCCTTGAGTGACCAGGAGCTCCCCTTTAGTTTTGAGCAATTTTAGCTATTGATGCTACACTTAAGCAGCTTTTTTCCAAACAGTGACTTTTACTACAGTGCAAATTTGCAATGAATAGGCTTAAAAATTTAGCAGCAAAAAATTTCTCCATACAAACTAGTTTGCATGGCACAACTATTTTACATGTAATAAAGTGCTAACTACCCCTTTGTTTACACTAATCTGACAGCTGGTGCTTGCAGAGAGTCTCTGTAATGCGCTTCATGTGCTATGTAGTAATAGCCACTTCATGAAGGCAAGTCCCCATCAGCATTACAGTTCACTGCCCTGACTGAAATCAAGCAGGTGTATAGCGAGCGCGCCGAGATATAACATGTTCCTATGTTCAGCCTTGTGGATGTTATGCTTAGTGCCAGTCTGCTTTTCATACTCTGAATGAGCCTCGTTTTATTTATTCATTTCAGTCCAAGCACACCAAGCAACAGGTGATGGTTTACAGCGATGTTGATTCAGGCGCATGACTCACTTTAATTCACTTTCCGTAAGTGGGCCCGGTTATTGTAAGAAGCCTGGGTAATGCACAGCTGAAAAGTGTTCAGAGCACTTTAACTAAAATGGTCCATTCAGAAGAAAGAAAAATCCATTTGTGCCGCTACGGACTTGAAAATCTGCATATGTTTGAATAGCTTGGCTGAAAAAAATAATGAACCAAATCGCTGAAACAACCTGGTTATGTTGATTGCCTGGCGTCACTCACCTTCAGTCTCTTGAAGGAACCTCTGCTGGCCGTAGCTGCCCATTAGTTCATACTTGTGTTTTTCCTGTGTCTGCAACACACATTAAAGTAAGCACTGCTGATTATAACTTGCACTGAGTGACATAAGTTTATTACATAAGTGTGACGATGACTGTTCAGTGGGCACATGAGGAGTATTTATAGACATTTGGAATTTACTCAGAACTCAGGGCTATGTCTTTCATGTGCGAACACTGTGCAGCATCGCTACAGACAGATAACCATGAACTTTAGGCCCACTGCAGTGCAGAGCATTAAATAAGATTGTGCTCCAGTTTTAGTGAGCTTACCCATGTCTGTATGATGAACTGTTAGCATTTAATGCTAACATTACCTGATATGCTTTTCTTTGTTTTTGTATTGTTCAGCACTTTGGTCTGCCTGGTGCCTTTTTAAAGTGCTATATAAATAAACGACGATGATGATGATATTTAGCACTTTACTCTCTGGGCTATAGATGCTAATATTAAA